AATTGATAATGAGCGACACCTGCACCACTCACCGTCTCGAGTCCCACGGCTCTCGGCCCCGCCCCCACTCGTCACAGCCATCTATGCCACAACATTAAAGATCCAGCAGTATATTTCATTGTACATATGGGGTACTTTTTTATCCCTGTGTGCACCAAACCTCTCTTGAGTGTTTGCTGCTAAAAAGCAAATTTTTTTAGTTTCATCTGGCCATTGAACCCAGTTCCGTTTAAAGTTCCAGTCGTGTCTAGCAAGTTTGTTTTTGGATGAGAGCGTTTTCTTTTCTAGTTTTTTCTTGAAACCCTCTAAAACAACATTGTTTTTTTAGGTTTTCTGACCCGAAGACTATTAACTATTTTCTGCAGTTCTCCAGCTGTGATCCTTGGAGTCTTTGGCCACTTAAACTCTCCTCCTCACCGTGCATTAGGACGATATAGACACACGTCCTCTTACTGTGTTAGAGAAAAAAAATTATTTCATAATGTGATTTTCCCCCACTTTCACTTTTTTTTTTATGAAAGGTGAAGTGGATAAACAATGCAGATTTATTTTCAAAGCCTTCTTTGATCATATTTAATAAAGGGTATGAATAATTTTGAGCACAACTGTACCATGCGAGGAGGAAGAAAGGCCCAACAGTGTGTGAAGAGCTTCCAGGGTTCTTATTACACTGTGAAATGATGGGGGAAACAGTTTTGCAACGAGTCAGTGAGGACAAAGACTCCTAATTAGGTGAGCTCCCTTCAGACTGTCAAACAAAAGCCTCAATCCGAACTTAACGCCCCCCAATGCTCAGAGGGATCTTCGGTTCTCAAGGACAGAACCTAGGCATTGGGAAGCTTTAACCATTGTTGCTTGAGATTGCTACATCAAAATTTACACGCGAGGAGAACAGGCAGAGAGGGCAAGGGTACAATGAAAGTCCTAGGCAGCCCTCATCCAACGATGATGTAATGGTGGGATGGGAGGCCAGAAGGAGTGGGGGGAGCCAGCTGTTCTTTGGTAAGGACATCTGGGCATGAGTGCTGTGGGACATTGCAGTTGGACAGATGAACAGGGAAAATAGGCAGAATTCCTGACACTGCCCTCATCAGTCCCATCATCCCTCATTATAATGAAGCTGCCATCAGACTGTGAGCTGATTAGAGCTCTTTGTGAGAGTAATTTAGCAGATTATACACAGAATTTGAAATAAATGCTTGTCAAATAGAGAAGTATGGAATAAAAACTTTCATTCGGAACGAACTTTTGTCCTCTAGAATGAGCCTTGTAAACGTACAATACTTAAGGTATATACACAGCATTCATTATCGACCAAGCACCTGAAGGCCAGGATTTTCACTGAGTCAGGGGGATCTACAAGGCTGCCATTGATCCGCTTCCTGCAGCAACCTTTCACAGAGGTCATACACAAAATAAAGTTACACCACATTTCTTTACAAAAGCCATTTGGGTTGAGTCCATACAGCCAAGATTAGGGTATCTTAATTGTATGATTGTTTCAGCTTTAGTGAACAACATTTAGATTTTGTGAACAGTTGTTAACAACTTAATTTTAGTTAATCTCTAAAATATTTTATTGGGTACAAACTGTAAAATATCTATTCAATCCAGCAAAAGCCCTAATGACTGAAAGTCATTAAGTCAATGATTTGTATATAAAAGCAGCCCTAAAGAACAATCAGTGGGGATGGGCCTATTACAAAGGTTGAGAATCACTGCAATAAACCAAGACGGTAATTAAGAACAGTTATCCATTCTGAAATGCAGAGGAAAAAATAAATAAAATAAATTCCATTGAGACGGTTCATTTGGTTGATTTTTATTAAACAACTCCATAGTACTGCATGACAACACCAGACAGAGCTGTGGCAGAGTACAATTATGACATCTCCTCCTTGGCAAGGCGGTCTTTCTTGAGGGGTCCCTGTTGAAAGAAAAGATTGGTTACCAGCAGATTTAACGGACTACTTTATACAAGCAAAAAAAAATAAATAAAAAAAAATTAGATGTCATCAGAGAGTGAACAGGGAGAAAGCACAAGTGAGGCACCACTCCCCTGCCTCACTGAGTTTTTTTTATCTTGCACTGGAATGGAACCCAAATCTCAGATTGACCGGCTGAAACAGGTTACGAACAGTGCACTGATCTGCAGAGGATCATAGTCAAGTTCACACTTAGGTGTGGTGCACGTAAACTTAGAAGGGCAGCATCTACCAAAGCTTCGGGACACTCGGCCCCAGCCTAATTCAGACTGATATTTTTGGGCCACAGTCTGATTGTGGGTGCTCGGGTCACAGCAGGGATAAAGTCCAGAGTAACCACTGGGTTCCAAAGCAGTCATGCACTCACCATGAAGCTTTTCTTTTCCTCGATGGTCTGGAAACGTCCATGACCGAATTTGGAGGTGGTGTCGATGAATTTGAGGTCGATCCTCTCCTGGGCACGGCGGCTGGTCTGGACCAGAAGAGATTTGCGCAGAGTCAAAACCCTCTTCTTGGTTCCGACCACACAGCCTTTCAGCATGACGAAGTCGTTGGTCACTTCACCATAGTGCACAAAGCCACCCTAATGTGCACAAAAAGTCAGTTTAAAACCTTAAAGAATACACAGCCTGAAGTAACTGAAAACCACACAAGGCAGGCATCTGCACACTCACCAGGGGGTTGATGCTCTTGTTGGACAGATCATATTCAGTAGAGGCATTGTTCTTAACTACTTTTCCATCCTTTGTGTGATACCCCGCACCAATCTTGTAAATCTAAAGAGCAAAACATCATGAGAAACAAGACTCGAGAGGAAAGGGATGCTTAAAACTGGTCCTACAGGAAAGCTTGGGTCTAATTCTGAGGTCTCACCTTCTTGTTGATCTCAGTGCGGTGGTGGTAGCCCTTCTGACCAGCACGAGCCACAGAGAAAGCCACACGGGCAGGATGCCAGGCTCCAATACAGGCCACTTTACGCAGACCACGATGGGTCTTACGGGGCAGCTTCTTTGTGTGCCAGCGGCTTGTCACACCTACAGAAACATTTCTTTGATCAAAAAGTGCTCTTAGAAGCTCATTTGATTAATATATGGCAAGTGTGCTGTCAGAAGGAAGGCAGCATGGGAAATTTCCTCATGCGTTTCGGGCGCCATGCCTGACGCGATTAATCCATGTCTTTCATCATTGTGCACAATGCCTGTCAAAATCCATAGGAACAGACAGATGTTAAACAAAAAGCCATCAACTTACCCTTGTATCCGTGACCCTTGGTAACACCGATAACGTCAATCATCTCATCTTGACCAAAGACATTAGTGATAGGAACGGGCTGCTCAAGCTTCTCTCTGGCCCAGTCAACCTTATCAGCGATGGAGCCTCCATTCAGCTGAATCTCCATCAAGTGAGACTTCTTCTGTCTGAGGGGCAGCAGGCGCATCTACAGAAAGTTGACCGTTAGCCAAACTCCATTTAAAAATAAAAAAAAATTACATAAAAAAAAATACATAAATACGCAAGCCATACAGCCAATATTTATCCACAAATTATACAGTATATAAGTTCTTTTGTACACTACCTTGTACTGACAATGCAATTTTGTAAAATGGTTATTACATTGTCAGTTTCATAATGAGTTTTACGGATAATGAAAGTTACATGAAATTACAGAAGCCATTGATAAATTTATAGTAAATTGAAAAAAAAAAAAAAAAAGTTTCTGGAAGTAAAATCAAGAAACGGAATTTGAAGGAAAGGAGAAAAAAAA